TTGATTTTTAAAATCAACCATTTAAAAATTAAAAAGCAGGTGGGCATGGGGGCATACATCTCTAATCGTAGCACGCTGGGAGGCTGAGGCAGAAGGATCTCCAAATTCAAGTCCAGCGTGGGTAAGTAATTTAGACCTGTTTCAAAATAAAAAATTTAAAAAGGGCTGAGAATGTGTCTCAGTGTAAAAGCACTGTCTCAGTGTTCAATCCCAAATCCTAGATATATGATATCTTGGATTGTAGATCAGATAAAAACAGGCAGAAAACCAGATTTGGTCCTTTTGTCATAGTTTACTGACCTCTGATCTAGATGTACCACAAACTGGTTAGGTTGTTGATTACCCTGTCTTCAAACAAATTCATGCCTAAATCATTCTAGATCAAAAGACTGCTACTGCATGTTTAAAGCCAGGGAAATATCATAGCCTATATTAAAAGCCTCTTCCATCACAGCCCCAATTATGAAAGATGAAGAATAATATGAATGTGCTTCAAAAACCTTTAAAGTGCTAGAGTACTAAGTATTATTATCATTGTTGTTATTATTCTATCAGTAACAAGCTGTGTCTTATGGCTAACTTCATTTACTCAGGCAAGCTAAATTTTTTGGTTCCTTCACTAGTAGGGATCCAGCAGATACCACCCATTCTGAGAATGGTATCTGAATATAGCTCTTACCTCTGGGCTAAATGTCATTCAGATTGTTCTAGCTTTTACTTGGAATTTTGATTTTTGTAAATGATTCATCGTCTTTGTGATTCTTCTCTCTAGATTCTAGAAGAACCAGCACAATACCGTAACTGATAGATAGGAACATAATGCCATTTGATGATTAAAAAACAAAAACCTTTTGGAGTTGGTATTGAGGTGGTTGTCCAATTCTTTTTATTCTGTTCTGCTGCTTCCTGTGACAGCGGCATACTATATATGGGTGGGCTCGGAATATTTGCATATATTCTGGGAACAGACAATGACACATGTGTCAGATCACAAGGTCTGAATCTTTTGTGATATGTACAGCCAGGATGCTGATATCAACAGCAAAGCCCAGCTCCGTGGCCCATCTTTTTCCTGCCCCGCCTTTTCCCTTTGAGCCCCACTATCCAGCTCCTGACCTGGGCTGCCCGGGCTTCGCTGACAATATCAGACAAGATCACAGCCATAGGCAGTACAGCTGCTGGCAGAACCTGGTGCCCCCCTCCGCAGCTGCCGCTTCCTGTGTGTGCGCGGCTTGTCAGCCACATCCCCTCCCTGGAGCAGTCTTTGTTAACCGATTCCACCTCGGCCCACTGAGCGGAAGATGAAACGCAGAGAGCTCCTCCAAAACCAACAAAGACAGCAGCCATTACCGAGTCCCTTTCCCCAAGGTGACTCAGAGCTGGCTTGCCTGGCACTTTTAACTGGGTGAGTGAGGGAAAAACTGAAGCCTTCAGTGGAACTTGGTAGATGCAGGAAGAGCCATTTCCCATCCCAGGCTCTCCCTGCTCCATCCCACACCCTGGTAGCAACTGGTGGAAATCCCAGATCCACAGCTTCCTGAATCATGTCCAAGGCATTAATCAGCCACCAAAGAGTCAACAAGGCCCCTGGGAGGACTCTTCAGTGACCTCTGGCACTAGATCCAGCTGGGGATGGGAGACAGGCAGAATTAATTCTAAATGCTCTTGATTCTGATGGGCATTTTGTTTTGTTTTGTTTTGTTTTTGCACCGGGGATGGAACTCAGGCCCTTGAGCTTGTGAGGCTGTCACCAGAACCAATGAGCTAAATCCCTGGCCCAAACATAGTGTCCCTGGGTCAGATGGGCATTTTGGGTGGAGGGAACTTAGGATTTTCTGGTTCCCTGGCCACCCTGCGCTGGCTTCAAACCCTTCTTGACCTGACCTGACCTGACCTGTCATTTCCTGATCATTTTTCCCCCTGTAGATGTCCTTGTCCTTTTTCACCCTTCTCCTTCCCAAACTTTGTAGCCTAAGTCTGAGCAGAAAAAGAGGAGGGGGAAGGCCCAGAGCACAGGGGTGAGAAATTAATGCAGAATGAGCAGTCTATTTATTGGGATCTAGGAAAAGCCATTAAGAAAATAAGCACTTAAATGATTTTCAATCTGCCCATGGAAGTCATCTATCTTCATACTGGGGGAAAAGGCCCGTTCTCTGATCCTGGTCTTGATTGACTGGTTTCCAATTCTCTGAGCATTTCCCATAGGAGCCTCTCACCTATCTCCCATAATGACAGGCCTTTGCATTTCCAGGCAGTGTTTTACATTTATTTCCGATTTGCTCATAATGGTCAAAAATCTTTCTCCAATCCGAGGCATTTCTCCAGCAGAGCACGGTTTCCCTCAGGCCAAATAGCTCAGCTGTGATCCACGGAAAATGAGAATTTCCCAAACACGTCTTCGGACTAGAGGAGGGTCCAGCATCACAAATTCAGATGGAAAATTTCCCACTGTTAGATCAATATCTGGGCTAAGAAATAAATGCCACAGGGGCAGAGAGCTGGAGCAAAATGATTACAATCGGCACAATTACATTCACCGGCCGAATCAGCTTGCTGATTACTCTTCAGGATGGGGAGCTCCTGCTTCATCCACCACAGGACAGCTTGGGAATTAGAACATCGCTCAGCATTTCATAATTCGACAGATTTGCCCATTGTCTTGGCATGAGTTCACTTTTCCCAGACAGTGTGTCCCTGTAAAAGGAGTTCTTATGTCAAGGAAAAAAGGAAGATGGACAGAAGGAAGGCAGGAGAGATGAAAGGTTGGGAAAAGAGAAAGTAAATCTCACAGTATGTGAGAGAGCCAGCCTGTTGGGGGAGTCTCTGGGCCAGAGATTTGGCAGTACATCTGCTTAGGTGGTGTATAAACCGGGGCTTTCCCAGAATTGCACCCAGCAAAGATCCCATTCAGTAAAAAGGGCTCGAGAACATATACCTCAGACTAGGTGTATCGCTCAGTGGTAGAACACTTGTATAGCACACACAGGGCTCTGGGTTCAAATCCCCAGCATTGCAACAAAACAATACACCCTAGGTAACTTTTCTTGTTCCGGTGCAGGGATTGAACCCAGAGACTTGAATATGCTAGGCAAATACTCTACCACTGAGCTGCAATCCACACCCCATATGATAGCATCTTTCTCCCCCACTTTCTTTTTCTTCTTCGTGTACTGGGGATTGTACCCAGTTTGTGCTACAACACTCCAACACTGAGCTACATCCCTGGCTCTTTTTATTTTGTTTTGATGCAGCAGCTCTTTAAAATGCCTAGGCTGGCCTTGAACTCATGATCCTCCTAAGGAGCTGGGATTATAGGCACTCACTACTGTACCTGGCCGTTATGTGGCTTCTTCTTTTGTGTGTGTGTGTGTGTGTGTGTGGTACTGGGGGTTGAACCCAAGGCTTTCACACTGAGTTATATCCCCAGCCCCCACGCTTTGGTTTTTATTTTGAGACAGGGACTTACTAAGTTGCTGAGTTGCCCAGGCTGGGTTTGAATTTGCAATGCTCTTGCCTCAGCCTCCTGAGTAGCTGTTATAAGCATGTGCCCACCATGCTTGACCCTGTGTGGCTTCTTAATTATTTTGTTGACCAAGAAATTTACTAGGCAAGTTTGCATTACCTGAGAACCAATCTGAAGTCCTTCTGGGGGGCCACAAAAAAGAGTCTGTCTCCTGGCTGCCGGGGATTTCTACAGCGTCTTTCCTCTGCTGAGCTTTGAAGTGGCAGAAGCTGGTGTTGCTATCTCACCAATGCTGAATGCTGGGTAGGCGGAGGCTGTGGCAAATGGATTGGGCACGCTGCGCAGCTCTGTGTACTGACACCGGCCCCCGAGCTCGCTGTGTCCCTAGCCCCTCCCAATCTTCCCTTTAATCCCCCCAACCAGATAATGTGGGATTTGGAAGCATGTAATATCCATGAGACTCCATTATAGGCTATTACGAGCTTTATACACAGCACCTGGGGGATGTACCAGGCGGCTGCTGGTCACTGTGGCTGCTGAAACCAAGACGAACCACAGGAATGGCCCTATGGGCAGATAGACCCTCCCATTGTTTAGACTGTTCCCCCCAAAAGGGCTCCTGTGACAGACGGAGGAAGCATTCAAGAGAAACTGCTTTTAGTCCCTTACAGAGTAAGAGGGATAGAGGGAGGTTCAAGGAAAAATAAAATCAGAGGTCCATTGAATGTATTGCTGGAGCTCTAAGAGACCTTCAGTTGGTATTTGTGCATGAACGTGGCATTTGGAGTGAGATCTTCTTGAGCACTGCAGATTAACATCCCTGACCTCTGCTCATTAACTGTGGGCGGCAACCCCAGACACTGTGACAACTGTAAACATGGCCCATACTATTTCTCCTGGCCCCTGGGTAGGAGGTGAGCCCCACCCTGATGTGGAACCATGGTCCAAGAGGCACATATTGCAGAAGAGGAATCTGGGCCCCAAGAAGCGAGTCACCAGCTCAAGGTCAGACCAAGGTGATGCCAGGCTTGAAGTAGAGCCAGATCTCCCAATTTAGAATTCCTTCGACAAAACAAGCAGCCTCTGAGAAAGAACTGAGAGGCAGGTGGACACACAGCAAGGGACAAAACATTATATGACAAGAAAAGGGAAAGGGAAAAGAAACTGGGGGTCGGGGAGAGACTAGAGAACAGAAAGATGAACATAATGAATAGGTCAGGGATGGGAAGGGGGAAGAAATCTTAGACGATTGAACATCTACCACCTTTAGGTATGAAAGATGAAAGAACACAGGATCTCTGCTCTCAAGGGCAGGAGGGAGGGTCAGGCAAATCAAGTGTGAACTTGGGAATAGGCTGGAAACCAGCTGGAGAGCACCAGCACTCTTACAGCTGGAACTAGATGGCTTCTCCTGTCCTCTGAATGCAAGGTCATGATTCCCTTCAACTGAAGAATGATGGCAAATGAATGGCTCAGGCCTTGGCACAGACCTTCACTTGACTGGCTTATTTATTTGTTATAATTTCTTTTCCCGTAGGAAGACTGAACTGCTGGTCCTGGGAAAGGAGAATCCAGGATTAAAGACAATGCAGGCCACTCTTTCTAGGCAGGGGATAGAACACCAGTACCTCACATCTGAGGAACTAAAGCAACGTTTCCCGAATCTCCGGCTCACCAGTGAAGAAGTGGGGCTCTTGGACAAGACTGGGGGGGTCCTTTACGCGGACAAGGCCCTCAGAGCCCTCCAGGTGACGTTGTGCAGCCCTGGGAAATGCTCTAGGCATTCTGGGTCCCAGTCAGCCATCTGGTCCCAGAAACCCCCATCAAGTGAAGGCCAATGCCCTGCTGCCTTTGGTCCTGACCTTTAGGGTAGGGCATTTTTATGCTCCTGCTGGCCTTGTGAACCTAGGAGAGGAGATCTAGATTCTGTTCTCTCTTGTCTGCCCTAAGTGAAAGGCTTTTTGTCCACCAGGGTGAACTACACATACAACTAATTCACCTTTCCCTGCTCTTTCTCTCCCCTCTCAGGATGCAATTCACCAGTTCGGAGGAACAGTAAAGGATGGAGAGAAAGTGACAGAGATAAGACCTGGGCTCCCAGTCAGGGTGAAAACCACCTCTAGGAGCTACCACGCCAAGAGCTTGGTCATCACAGCAGGTCCTTGGACCAACCAGCTCCTCCAACCCCTGGGAATTGAGTTACCTCTCCAGGTAGGGGAAGCAGGAAGCCTGAGTTGGTGCTTAAGAGAATCCTTGGCACCAGATGGACTAGACATTGAGTCCTGAATCTGCCACTTATTAGTGGAAGACCTTGGGCAAATTAGTTCAGTGCCTCAGGTTTATCAATATGGGGTTAAGAGCTATCTCGAAGAGCTGTTGGAGAATTAAATTATGTAGTATATATAGAGAGCCCTTAGGAGAAGGTCTGGTTTATGGTAAACACTGAATAAATATGAGGTGTTACCAACTTCTGGAACAAGAGAGAAATAAGGCTGGGGCACAGGGGCACAGCTATTGGGGAAGAGACAGGAGTTTGGAGATCTTTATGCATCATAATGTATATAATAACAAGGAAATGACATGAGAAATGGTTTAAATAAGGACAGATGTGTGAAAGGGTTGTAGGAACCCAGAAGAAACTGCTCTTACTGTCTGTAGAATTCCATGGATTTCTCCCTTTGTGTCCCACTTCCTCACATGCTTCAAGACTCTGCGGATCAACGTGTGCTACTGGCCAGAGAAGGTTCCTGGGAGCTATGGTGTGTCCCAAGCCTTTCCCTGCTTCATGTGGCTGGGCCTGGCTCCCCATTCAGTCTATGGGCTGCCTGCAGGAGAGTACCCTGGGCTGATGAAGGTGAGAGGGAAGGTGGAGCAGGGGGGCTGCTTGAACTCACCCCTCCACAGACTCCCCCAGTCCCAGTGGGCAGCAGTGAAGTTAGCTTCACTATGTATTGCTATTTGCTGTTTGCAGAACAAGACCCTCAGCTGCCTCAAGGCCCAGCCAGAGGAGTCTTTCTCTGCGAAAAGGGGTGCAGGGGCAGACACTAGGTAGCCTCTGGTGGCAACAGACAGCATCTGTAAGGAAAGCCAGGAGGATGGATGGGGACATCCTGTGTCCAAGCCTGCCCCTCCCTGGCGTGTAGGGTCAGCCTCATTGACCACCCTGCTCTGATGGTGGCCAGGTCTGTTATCACCATGGCAACAACGTGGATCCCGAGGAGCGGGACTGCCCCACGGTCTCCTCAGGCAACCAGGATGTCCAAATCCTGTGCCGCATCGTCAAAGACCACTTCCCCGACCTGAGGCCTGAGCCCGCCATCGTGGAGCGCTGCATGTACACAGTAAGGGGCCGGGTTATGGGTCCCGAGAGCTGGGGAAGGACAGACCTGCACTAGCCAGGCTCTGCTACACCTGACCCCTGACACAGTACAGGACCTGACACAAGGAAGCTAATTTCTGTGGGTTGGTTCACCTCCACCAGAGAGGGCCCATTAGGGATTATTCATATTCTTTTTCATTAGGCAAGTAGGCTTATGCCTGGCAGCCTTTCACTATATTTCCCAGAAGAGCTTTAAAAGATTTTTTGGCAAGATGCTCCAGTTGAGCAGGCCTTAGGGACAAAGAGAAGAGACAGATGTCACCAGGGCCTGAGGCATCTTGGCTAAAGTTGGTTTGTAAAGATGAAATGAGCACCTACTGTGTTCACGGCTCAGTAGAAGGAGCGAGACAGATGTACAGACGAGAAAGGCTGGCTTAGCCACGGGGGTGACTGGCATGTGGGAAACATGCCTGTGCTCCATCTTTTTTTTCTGGAAAGAAATCCAGTCCAGGCCCCTCCTGTCAGAGCTTGTAATTCTTCCTCCCCCTGTCCTCAGCTGACATAGTTTTCCTGTTTCTCTCTAGAATACTCCTGATAAGCACTTTGTTCTTGATCGTCACCCAAAGTATGACAATATTGTCATTGGTGCTGGATTCTCTGGTGAGCCCAAAAAGGGAGGCATGGGGATCTTTCAGTCTAACCTTCCTCAGTGCCAGGCAAAATGGTATTTTCCACACTCTTAGCCTGACATTTAGTGTAGAAAGAGACTGGGCGGTTACTGAGGGGGAGTCGTGGTGGGAGACAATGTCTAGGTTTCAGGTGAGACCAAGCAGGGAAGTTCTCAAGAGCCCAGCCTTTTGGTCCCTCAGGATGCATGACCACCTACTCCTTCTCTTAGGGCATGGATTCAAGCTGGCCCCTGTTGTGGGAAAGATCCTGTACGAATTAAGCATGAAATTAACGCCATCCTATGACTTGGCACCATTTCGGATAAGCCGTTTCTCTGGCCTGGGCAAAGCCCACCTTTGATGACTGACTTCCCTTCTGTGCCCAGGCCTCTGCTGGGAAAGAGTTCTCAAATAAAGGAAGTGGCCCTGAGATGTATCCTTTTCTCTTGCTAGGGCATTTGATTCTCTTTTCTGGGACTTAGGGTAGATTTGCTAAAATCTGCTCAGGAGAGGGCAAACAAGATGATATCTTACAGATCATTCTTGCCTTTAGGGCTCATTCCCTAAAACTAGAGCCATCCTCTATCACAAACTCCCATCAAATCTCATGCTGCACAATGAACATTTGATGAAAAAGATTTGTTGAATAAACAAATAATTGCATTGCATAAAAGGCTGTGGTGGGCTTTCCTTTCCATGTGACCTTATTTCTTGCAGCCTTTAATTGTCTAAATTAGCATCACAGAATCTGTTTCCCCTAGGAAGCCACAGCAGCTTGGTCTCCCCAGTGTACTGCACCCCCTTTCTCTGGATTCTTTGTCTGATCCTCATCTCCTCTCTGGTTCTGCAAAGACACTCAGCTCCCCAGTCCCTCATTAAGGTGTATTGTCAGGTCCTTATGAAGATGGAGCTGTTATACCAGAAAGAAAGAGAGACACACTCGCTTAGAAGCCCTGTTCAATGTTTGAATGTTAAATGTGCCATTTTATTATCATTAGGATTGCTCCCACTTAATGAAATAGAATTAGCACTGAGTCGGCTGGCCTCCTTGCACTAATTGCTTCAGAAGGAAACAGGCTCCTAACTACCCCAGGGTGGGTGGAGAACCCAGGTATAAACAGAGAATCAGGCGAGGCTAGATACACTGGTTAAACCCAAGTGGGGGGACCTCCAGATTGGGCCAGTTCCACCCCCAGAGATCAGGATTTTTAAATGCTCCAGGGAGGCAAAAGACAAGACTGGGTGGCTGAATAATTGGGAGGAATCACTGAGTGGGGAAGAGCGAGCGATGAGAATGAGAGTCAAAATATTCCCAAAGTAAATACAACACAGGGGAAATCACTCTTCAACTGCCTCAGTCCTTAAAGGTCTTGGCACATGTATTAGCGCTGATTTCTCCAGTGAGTTATAAAAGCCAGCTGATCCTGTCGACCCCATGCCAAGCCTGCTTTTTGGGTAATCTCAAGTGGTTCCCTGAGCCTCAGCCTCTATAAAATGAGAACAATAATACTGATCAACTCCACAGGGAGGTGTGAGGCTTCAATAAGATCACTCGCTCATTCACTCATTTATTCACTATACAGAGATTCATTTAGCCTCTCCTATGTGCAAGGCACTGTGCCAGGCACTGCATGTATCAGTAAACAAATCAGATAAAAATCCTTGTCCTAAAACAGCACAGTGATTTTTTTCAAAAAATTAAAGACAGATTAACATATGACCTAGCAATTCTACTTCTGGGTATATACCCCAAAGAATTGAAAATTAGGGTCTCAAAAAGATACTTATGCACTCACATAGAGCAGCATAATTCACAATGGCCAAGAGGTAGAGACAACCCAGACGTCCACTGACAGATAAATGGATAAACAAAATGTAGTGTGTATAATGGGACATTCTCCAGCCTTAAGATGGAAGAAAACTCTGATACTCCCTCCAACATGGAGGACACTATGTTAAGCGAACTAAGCCAGACACTAAAGGACCAACCATATAGCTTCATTTGTGTGAGTCTAGTAGTCAAATTCATAGAGAGTAGAATGATGATTGTCAGGGGCTAGAAGGAGGATTTGATTATGGGTACAATTTTAGTTTTGCCAGATGAAAAGAATTCTGGAGATTGGATGTACAATATGAATGTGCTCAATGCCACAGAACTATATACCTAAAAATGACTAAGATGGTAAAGTTTATGTTATGTGTATTTATTTAATTTTCTTTTTTTTGATACTGGGTATTGCACCCAGGGGCTTTGCACTGAGTGACATCTCCAGCTCTTTTTATTTTTTGAAACAGGTCTAGGAAAGTCACTAAGTTACCAAGGGTTTGAACTCATGATCCTCCTGCCTCAGCCCCTCAGAGTGCCGGGATTACAGGCATGAGCCGCTGTGCACAGTTTATAGTACATGCATTCACTCATTCATTCAATACACAAATATATTTTTGAAAGCCTTATTCTTGCTGGGCGTGGTGGTGCACACCTATAATCCCAGCCCTGAGGAGGCTGAAGCAGGAGGATTGCTGTGAGTTTGAGATCAGCCTGGGCTACGTAGTGAATTCAATGCTAGCCTGGACTACATAGCAAGACCCTGTCTAAAAGGGATAAAAAAAATGTGAGAAAATGTAAAAATGGAATTAAAGTGTTTGTAGGTAGGGAGGGGAGGAGGGGATGAAGGGAGGGTGGGGACAAGGGGAAAAAATGAGAAGCAAGACCTGTCATGTAAAGGTACAAGATCCCAGTGATGAATGTAACTGTACTGTGTACCTAGAATGTACCAATAAATTCAATAAAAAAAGACCCTGTCTCAACAAACAAACAAATTAAAAAGGCCTATTCTTATAGAGCTTACATTCCAGTGAGAAGATGTGTAAACAATACAGGTAAGTAAATTTTTTTGTTTATTTGTTTTTTTGAGACAGGGTCTCCCTATGTAGTTGAGACTGACCTGGAACTATGTAGCCCAGGCTGGTCTGGAACTCACAGCGATCCTCCTGCCTCAGCCTCCCGAGTGCTGGGATGACAGGCGTGCACCATCATGCCCGGCTCGTGTAAGTCAATTTTATTAGAAGTTATTAAGTGCTTTAGGGGAAAACATATCAAGGTGAGGACGGTGAGTGCTGGGGGAGAATGTTTTGATGAGTGGTAAAAAATGGGTCTCACTGAAGAGGGGACTTCTCCGCGGACGTGGAGAAGGAGTGAGCTATGTGGTTATGTGGGGGTAGGTAAAAGAATACTATGAATTAGAAAGCAAGACATTGTACAACCAAAAAAACAACAATAAAGAAGTGTGTTGAATAAAATTCCAAATTCTACACTCATCAAGGGGCTGGGGATTTAGCTCAGTAGTTCTATACCGCCTGCCTCGCAAGTGCAAGGTCCTGAGTTCAATCCCTAGTACTCCCCCAAAAAAAAACAAATTGAAGAGAGAGAAATGAGATGCAGGGAGGGACCACAGCGCGATCCCAGCAGCTCCCACTGACAAGCTGAGGAGAAAGCTTCGTCCCCCGTCCCCCGTCCCCCCCCCCGCTCCACAGCTGCCTGAAGTCCTCTCTGCTGCTTGGTGCCACCCTGTCCTCCCCCAGCCAGCTGCAGCTCCCCTTCCAAAATATCCAGCCTATGCAGCTCCACAGTGACAGCTACAGCAGGGGACCAATGTCTGGGGGAGGCTGAGAGAGAACAGGTGGGGGGTGCTGCCTGGCCCTGCCTGAGCTGACAAAGGCCTTAGCGAGACAACCCACAGCCCACAATGCGCTAGGAAGGGGAATAGGAGAGCAGGGCCCATGGGGCAGGATGAGTGTGCAAAGAAGGGCGAGGCCAGGGGGGAATGGAGTGAGACAAAGACTTGGATAAGAAGACGTGGGCAGTGTGGTGGTCAAAAGGCAGGCAGGGGCCGGGGATTTAGCTCAGTGCTGTGGCCGCCTGCTTCGCAAGTGCAGGGTCCCAAGTTCAATTGCAGGTACCAAAAAAAAGAAAGGCAGGCAGGATTTTCAGGGGTGCTGCACATTCCCAGTGTCAAAGGCACTGGGTCCTAAATGTCCAAATGGGAGGAAGTGAGCATTTCTTAGTTGGGGCGAGGTGGAATCATAGAGGGGAGAGGTGATGTAGGTAATAATCTTTGGGCTTAGAGGAAAACAAAGGTCAATGCAGAAGGGGTTAGAGGGCAACTTGAGGGTTCCTGCGATATTGAAGGATTTGCCTGAATAGAATTATCTCTCGGCTTCCCTTCTGCCTGAGCATGGCCAGGCAGCCCTTACATATCTCCGAGATGGAAGAAAATCAAAATCATTTGGGCAGGCAGTCAGAGACCTCTGGAAGGACAGCTGGGGTCCACACAGGCTGCAGCGGAGAGATAAGGGCAATGAAGAGAAAGAGGCCCGTGGTGGTTGCCAACCAGAAGAAGGAAAACAGAGGCAGGCTAAAAATAGACTGGGGCAAGGCGGGAGGACAGCCAGGCCAGAAAAGGAGGGAGAGCCAAGGAAATCAATGCCATCATGAGTCTGACCCAATTCCTCATCGCTCAGCCTCACCAAACTGACAAATGGGGAAACAGGTTAAGATTGGTGTAGAGGGAGGAGAGTCGGGGTGGGTGAGTGTGAGGTACGCATCATAGCCTTGGTGGGGAAAAGAGGAAATGCACAGTGTGGTGGTCAGATCCCCTGTAGTGCAGCCCTCACTGGAGTGTGGTAGCCCAGACCCCGAGTGAGTTTAACTTACGAGAGGGACAGTTGTCTGGAGAGGCAAAAGGAGAAAAGCAGGAAGAGTTGGCTCAGAGACAGGAAGCTGGAAAGTTCCTGGAGGTCTGCTTCTCCTTGGGAAGTGTGATTCAAGGGAATTTGGTTACTTCAGTGGTGGGCTTTCAGCGCAGCAAGAAGGATTTAGGCTAGATCTTAAGGAATCTGTCGCAGTAGGTGGACATGTGAGATATTAAACACACACGAGCCCTCTGGGGTATTCTCTCTCTGGAAATCTTATACCAGGAGAAGCTCACCTACTTGAGCCTGTAGAAATCTCATTTGAAGGCTGGGGTCTCCTCCCCAACGTTCTGGAAGACTGCCTGCTGGAGATGGGGTCTGGGATTCTTCTTACCCCAGAGGTAGTGGGGGAAATGGTTACTCGGGCTATGCCTAAGCCAAAGTTAACACCAGCCCTTTGGAAGAGGGAGAGGGACAAGGTGGGGTGGATCTGTCAGCCCCAAAGAGGCCTCAGAGATGAGGGGCAGGATTCTAACTTGCAGGACCCAGTGGCATTTACATAACTTTGAATAATGGATAAGCCCAGCTCTGGGGTTCCTAGTCAGCACTGCTCATCTGCATCTTTATTAAGCTTTATAAATGATTCAGCTCCCCACTCCTTCCCCCAGCCCTGCCCAGCCTGCCCCTGAGCATCAGGGTAGTTGATTGCTCATTATTTTAGACTAGATTTGTTTCACCAACATTCAGTGAGGCATG